GGGGTGTTGTTGTTGCTGTTGTTGTTGTTGCTGCCTGGCAGTGATTAAAGCCAGCGCGCTCCTTACGCAGACTACTTCTTCCCCCATTTTTTTTCGCAGTGCCCTTGCTGTCGCATTGCCAACTCCATCAATCTTACTCTCAATGCCTCTCAATTTCCTTTTGTGGATAAAATATGAAAGTGTCGCCGAGGGGGTGGGGGGTGCGCGGCGGGCCGCAGGAAGAAGGGAGGGGAGGGGGGAGTTTGAAGGTGGCGGGCCTTATGAAGGAAGGGCGCGGATGGCAGCAATTCCCGCTCTTTTCTCTGCCGTTTTCCAGGCCGCCGGGCCGCTGGAGCCACCTGGAACGGGCCGGGCCGCTGGAGAGACACTTTTCAACAGGGCGCGGCGCGCGCGACTCCGGCTTTTCTAATGATTTATTTAACCTGGCGCCACTTTTGGCCCCTCCGTCCTCCTTAAGGGATGAACGCAACAAGCCACCGGGACGCGGGCCAGCCAGTGCCAACCAGCGTGCCGGCACTGCCGGGGCGGCGGGGCCGCGGCGGAGGCGAAAGTGAATTTAAGTTTGCGCTGGCCTGGCCGCCGCCACTTCTGTTAGGCCTGGGCGATGAATCGAATAATCGAAAATAATCGCGATTATTTTGTTAATCGTCCGATTATTTCAAACCCCCGATTAGTGGTTCGGTAATCGAAGGATTGACCGATTATTTAACGATGATCGATTATCGATTAATCGTCTCATTATCGGATATTCTATGCATCACCTGTTCAAATTCTGAGCGGAAAAGTCTTGAAAAGTTTTCAGTTAACGCACGAAAAAGCTGTCTCAGACACTCGAGGTTGCGCCAATGGTTTTCCTATCCTCTTATTAAATGCTATTTTCACAATAGTACGAGTATTAACCTTTGTTTGTCAATTTCCAAATAATCGGTTTCCCCCGATTAATCGTTGATTTTCGGTTAATCGTGTACGTTTTCGATTACCGATTACCGAACTGCTAATCGACACCAATCGCGATTATTTTATTCATCGGCCGATTACGATTACAACCAATAATCGCCCAGGCCTAACTTCTGTCGTTACCCGGCCCAGCGGGCTCCCCGCGGGCCTCTAGGGCCGCCACGCCACGCCACGCCGCGCCAACCCTCGGCCTTCGGGCCGCATTCCCCGGCGCCGCGCTTGAAAACGACAATGAACGACCCTTTGCCGTTCGCAGCCCCCAAATTATCACTCGAACCGCGCCAGTCGGTGTGGACGCAACGCTTGCATTGCTTTGCGGCCCGCGCGCCGACCGAAGGACGAAGGACTGCCCCACGCCGACCCCACGCCGAGGGGGGCGCCACTTTCAAAAGTCATTGTCCGGGGTCCGAAAAAGTCAATTTTTCAGTCAAAAAAGTCATCATAAGTCAAAAAGTCACTTCACTCAAAAAGGCCAAAAAAAGTCAATTCTTCTAACTTTTGGGGAGATATTGCCTAAATTCAAGGGGTTAAGGCCACGATACGCCTTGAAAAAGTCGAAAAAGTCACCAAAAAGTCTTTAAAGTCCGTACAAAAGTCGGAAAGTCAGAGACAAGTCAAAAAGTTAGGGACAAGTCGAAAAAGTCACCATTGAAATTAGTCACAGTCAGTCAATCTAGCCTCAAGTCATTGTCCACCTTCCCATCCAGTGGCGCCCCCCTCGCCCCACGCCGACACGGCCGCGGACAACGCGCTGGCTCCCTCTCCCTTATCTCTCGGCCCGTCCCTTTTTGCTTCCCCTCTTTTTTTTGGTTTCCGCGTCTTTGTTAATGTTTTTCGCTTGTCTCTTGTTTTTTGGAGGGCCTTGTCGGCAGAGGCGTCGGACTGCACACGCGGCGGCGTTTGAGATTTAGAGAGAAACTGCCGCGGCGAGTGAGAGAATCCACACGCTTCGCGTTGCGGAAGTCTCTGGCGCGTGGAGTATCGCCGTATCGAAGCCATTCCCCGGCGAGAGTACCTGGCCGCCGCCATCTTGTTTTCTTACCGTCCGCCGTTCCCGCGCGTTCCGCGTTTGCGTTTTGTTCGCTGAACTGCCACCGCCTTGCCGCCGCCTCCCCGCTCGACTGGGCCAGATATTAATCGGGCCGCCATTTCTCGGTTCTTTCCTTCTTTTCTAACTTTGGCCGCTCCGCCCGCTCGCCGATTGTTCCCGGCGGCTCGCTCGTTCATTACCCTAATTGTGGCAAAACAGGAGCGAGGTGCAGGGCTGGGCGGCTGGGCTGCCGGGCCGGGCGGCGCCAAGTTCTTGTTTTTGTTTTTGTCTTTGTTTTCGGCACGATGACGGCAACAAACAGCTTGTCGCGAGGCGCGCTTCGGGCTTGGCTTGGCCCGTGGATCGGCCTGCAGCCACCCGGTTTACGCAAGCACGGCACTAATGGTCGCGGACAGGCGATTCTAATCTGGGCGAAGGGAGCCTAAGGGATTCCACATTCCAGAGGCCCTTTTTGTAGACGGCGTTGCCCTGGCGTTGCCGTGCATGCCGATGACAAAAGTCGCCAATTGGATGCCAGCACGGGCCCCGCTCTTGGAAGCCCGGTGTCCCGGTGGGCTCCAGGGACTGCAAACTTCGACGAAAACACAAGTTTAAGTGTCCGTTTTTCGTAAACGCCGCTAGGCACGGAATGACAAAATCGGGAAATCGAGTTTTAAAACTTCAGATTTTATTTGCATTTTGCCGTTCTTGAGTCGCAGTCACCTGAAGCTAGATCCTTTCCTCCGTTGGCTCCGAAGGGTCAAACGGGTCCACGGCGTGCACACTTGGGAAACCTCGAACTCCGCGCCGCGCCGCGCCGCGCCTGGCATGAGGCATATCGATTCGCGTTTCCTCGCCCAAATGCATTTCGCTTCGAGTGGCGCGGCGTTTCCCCAAAGTGGCGCGTCTGTCCCTTATTTTTCTTTCCCCTTCCTTCTCTCTCTCTCTCTCTCTCTCTCTCTCTCTCTCTCTCTCTCTCTCTCTCTCTCTCTCTCTCTCTCTCTCTCTCTCTCTCGCTCTCTCTCTCCCGCTCTCTCTCTTTCATTTCCATATTAATGCCGCCCGTTGTACCTTGAGGCCGGGCGGGGGCTCCGTAAGTGTTTTTCCCTGTTCGGGATTGCGCCCCCCTCCCCTCCCCCCTCCCCGCGGCCTGGAGGCTGGAGAAGGGGTGCGTGTGTGTGTGTGTGTGTGTACATGTGTGTGAGAGACGGAAACACTGTGTACGCGCGCGCTAGAGTGGAATGGAATACAAGCATCGTGTCGTCACCGCGTTGCGGCGCGCCGGGCCAGGTCTCTGAGCGTGGCTGAGCGTGGCTGAGCGTGGCTGAGCGTGGCTGAGCGCGTGGCTGAGCGTGGGACTGGAGCATGGAACTGAGCGTGGAACTGAAGGTGGAGCTGAGCGTGCAGCTGAGCGTGGAGCTGAGCGTGCAGCTGAGCGTGGAGCTGAGCGTGGCTGAGCATCGCACTGCTGGACCGAGCGTGGATGAGCTTGGGGCTGCCCGAGCGTGGCTGAGCGTAGGCGCTGCTGGAGAAGCTCCAGCGGGCCAGGCGGAGTGGCCCGGAGGCCTGCGCGTTACCTCGACGCAAAGGGAGTCTCATCACATTCAGCCAGAAGAAGAAGACCCTTGTCTTCACGCGGTGGATGCTCGCTGCTCGCGGCGCGAAGGTTTTCTTTTCGTTTTTTCGGCGGGCGGCGGGATTAGCCAGCCGCGCCAACGCCCCCGGCGCCCTTCCCTTTGCTCGCTGTTTTGGCGACGCAGGTTCGAGTCCCGGCGGCGGCAGGTCCCTTTTTTCGTCGTGTGGCGTTCGCGACCTGAGTCGTCTCGTCGGCGGCCTTGTCGGCGGCGAGGGCGTGAGGCGCGAGGCGGAGGCGCGAGGCGGGGGCGCGAGGGCGCGCTATGGATATGCCCGATGGTTTCTCCCTTTGCCGCTTCGGCGCTTCGGCTGTCGGCCATCTCAGTGATGGATGGCGTGGCGGCGGAGTGGCTGGTATCATTCACCCCAACCTGAGCCTGTGTGTGTGCGTGTTCGCGTGTAGAGGTGTGTGCAGAGGTGTGTGTGCGCGAGGGAGTTTGATTCGGATTGGGCCGGTGGGTGCGCGCGCTGGTGTGAGCAGGCGGGCGAGGGGCTTAACTGATGCACTGCTGCACCGCCCGCAGTGACCGATGGTGGGGCCGAGTACGTGCGAATGGTCGGTAAAGCGCGCGCGCTGTCTCTCCCGCCACGCCCGCCACGCCCCGGGAGGCCAAATGTTGGCCAAGAAGTAAAAGGAGCTGCGAGACGCGGCAGGGGGCGGGGCGGGGCGGGGCGGGGCGGGGCGGGGCGGGGCGGGGCGGGCTCGAACCCCGGCACGGCTCAGGGGTACTTGCGCTGCTCCGCGCTTCGCGAGCGAATCGGTCACTCGAGCAGGCAGCAGGCCCCGTTCTGGAGCTCTCCGCCTCGCTCGGGGCGTGGCCGTGACGTGGCCGTGGCGCCAAATTTGAATCGGCCGGCAGTTTGGCGCAGGAGGCGGGTGGCCCTGGCGGAGCGGCGAGGAGCGTGAGGACCTTCTGGGCCAGCGCGGCGGCGTGAGGCGGCGGCAGCAGCGCCAGCGGCACTCCCCCCGGAGCCACTTTCCCTCTGTGGCGTCGCCGCGTCGCCGCGTCGCCGCCGCCCTCCAGAACAAAGTGTCCCGAGGTCGCGAGGACGAAAAGAAGAGAGCGAAGTAGGCGAGGGGGCGTGGAGGGGGCAGGGGCGGGGGTTAGATGAAGTGAACAGGCAGGGCAGGTGCGTGTGATAATCTTGTGGCTTACTCTGGCGTCGCGGCGCTGCGCGACGCTGCGCCACGGCGCCCGCCTCCTCCTCCCCTTCCTGCTGGCCGTGATGAAAGTGAGACGCAATCCTTTTGTTTGCGCTCCAAAGTTGGCAGGTGTGAGAGCGCGGCGCGGCGAGTCGTTACACCCTTTGACGCCACGCGGCACCGCGTGGACTGTTTCTGCGCACATGCTCAACGTGCCTCTCCTTCTGCCCGCAGGTCCAGCTGACGATCCGCACCCTGCCCGAGCTGCCCCCGATGGCCAAGTACAAGTGCGTGTTCGGCGACGCGGACCCCATCGACGCGGCCGTCACGCCGCTGGGGCTGTCCTGCCCCACGCCCGGCGTGTCCTCCCGGCCCAGGATCCCCGAGGGCCGCGACCACGTGCTGGTGCCGCTGGCGGTGCGCTCGTCCGAGACCAACAAGGACTTCGTCTCCAGGCACTTCGCGTACTACGACTGCTCCACGCACACCACCTGCTCGGACTGCGTGCGCTCGCAGTGGGCGTGCTCGTGGTGCGTCTACGAGAACCGCTGCTCGCACAACACGTCGGCCTGCCAGCGCACCGTCATCTCCGGCGAGAACGTGAGTACCCGGCCGGGATTCGAACCCGGGCCCAGTAGGCGAAACACTCCCTCAGCAGACCGATTCCGACGCCGGCTTTTTAGGGTGTGCCTTACGGGGTGGGATCACATCACAAGCCAGGACTTTCCGCTCCAAAGGCACTGAAAGGTACAGCCCACTACACTGCGCCTTCACGCCTATCCGCCCCCACCCCCACCCCTCCCCGACCCAATGGGACGGGGACAGTGGGGCACAAAAATGTGGGGGTTTCGGCGCGGCCCCTCCGGGCTCGTTCTCGTTACCGTGACAGCCCCGGGTGTCCTCGCCACCTCGGCCGTGCCCTGCTTCAACTGCTATAGCCGGCGTTTGAACCCGGGAGAGCGAAATATCCCCGCCAGGCCTCGCCAGGCCTCGGCAGGTGTGGCTGGAGCCTCCGTGGAGGGCCGCGGGGAGGGCCGGGGAGAGTCCGAGGGTGTTCAAAGGGAGTGCGTAGTACAAGGGCAAGGGCTGGCAATGTCCTTCTTTTCTCTGGGATTGCACTCGGCTCCGTCTGGCCCGCCTGTCTGAAACACTTGGCTCGCGCTCTAATTAAGCAAGCGAGGCGAGGCGGGGCGGGGCGGGGCCGAGCTGCCTTGTTGCCTGGCTGCGCCGCCCCGCCCCGCCCCGCCCCGCCCCGCTTCGGCCATGTCGGCGCCTTTACCCTCACGCGGCGGGGCGCGGCGGGGCGCGGCGGGGCGCGGCGGGGCGGGGGCAAGCTGGCTCAAGTGGGCCCCTTACCCGTCTTCATTCTTTTCCCACTCACCGCACTTTCCCTCTCTCTCGGTATTGTCTCACTCCCTCTCGCTCCCTCGTCGCGACACGCGGTGCGCGGCGCCTTTTACCCCCGAGCCGTTACAGCCTCCCCGCCCCGCCCCCAACCAACCCCACCTGAGACAAAAGGGCTGCGAAAAAATAGCGGTGGCGCGCCGGGTTTGAACCCACAACCCACGCCGTTCCATTACCAGCGGGTACAGAAATGGTGCAGGCAAGCTGTCCCCTTTTTTGCGAGGGTCAATTTCGGCGGGCTGCGCGGGGCGGGGCGGGGCGGGGCGGGGCGGGGCGGGACGCGCACCTTTCCCCACCCCGGCCACGCCCGGGCCAAGCCGTCTTTGTTTCAATTCCCTTTCATCGGGGTCCTGGAGGAGGGCGCCGCGCGGCGCCGCGTCGCCTCACGCACTGCCCTCTTGGTCCTTGTCCTGTAGGGCTGCCGCCGGGGCCGCGCGGGGCCTGCGCGGCCGCGTTGCGTGGCGCGGATCCATTCCCAGAAAGCAGCCCAAGTAGTCATCGAAGAACAGAGGCAGGGGCCGTGCGCGGCGGCGTGGCGGCGCGGCGGCCGGGCTCGGCGTCGAGGGCCTTCCTGTGCCCGGGGCCCCGGGGCGGGGTGGCGGTGGCGGCGCGGGGTGGCTCAAAGTGCGCCGCGCTGCAGCCTACGGCCCCACGGCCCCGGCCTACAGTGCCTACAGTGGCAGGGCTGGCGCCGCTGGCAGGGTTGAAGAGGCGGTGCACAGAGGGCAAGGGTTGATGGCGGATGCGCGGGCTGCACGGGCTACTAATTACGCGAGTCTCTTTAACACGACCGCCTTGCCTGGCCTCCCTGGCCTTCCCTGGCCTCGCCTTCCCGCTCGTCGGCTCTGTCGACTCGACCCGCCGCCGGCTTTGTTTGTCTAGCTGCTGCAGCTGGCGACGGCAGCGACGGCAAAGGCAGTGTCGTCGCGGCGGGGGCTCGAACCCGCGACACTGCCTCGCTGTCGCTGCGTCGCTATGGCGCGCGGACGGACCGCGGCTTATTCCGAGGCCCGTTTATCCACTATATCCGTTTTAGCCCGGAATGGCGGGTAGTTATGGCCCGGCTGGCTGCCGAGGCTGCAGGCCCCGGGCCATGCCGCCGGCGGGGGGTGGCGCATGGCCTGCCCTGGCGTGGCGGAGGGTGGCTCAGGAGCCCTTCGCAGCGCCATGGCGGCGCGGCCGGCCCGGATTTTGATGACGCAGCTTTATACGGAGATAAGGGAAATGTTAAAAGGTTAGAGCGCAGCCATGGCATAGTCAGCCCGTAATGCCTTAACTCGAGAGCATTGTTCTCCGGGAAATGGCGGCGTGGCCGGGCACGGCCGGGCACGGCGTTAGTAGCGCAGCTCGCGCGGCGTAGCGGCATCCCGGCGCTGCGTTACGACGGCCGGAGGGGCGGGGCGGGGCGGGGCGGGGCGGGCCCCCCGCGTCTAGCTTTGGCCGGCCTAGCGCATAAGTTCGCTGCCGCCCGCTGCCACCCCCGAGAAAGAGAGCGAGAGAGATGAGGCGCTCTTTTTGTTTGTCCGCTTTCTTGCCGTTGTTTTGGTCGCGTCGCCTGGCCGCGTCGTCGGCGTCACACAGTCGCACTCGCCCGTCCGCTCCGCTCCGTGCAGCTCCCCCGTCCCGCTTCCTCCAGCCAGCGAGTCCCTTCTTCTGTATTGGAGGGCGCACTTGGCTCTTGGCTCTTCCCCGCCCGGTCCGTCCAAACAAAGCGCAACAAGTTTAATTTCAGCCTTTGCTTCTGTCGAGGGGGAGGGGGAGGCTGCCCACGTCGCGCTGCTCTTGCCAAACTTGGAGACACCCCTCCCTCCCTCTCTGTTTTCCCTCCTTGCTCCTTGGCCGAACCCCGCGCGCGGGGCCCTACGTCTGCCGAGTGATTCCGAAGAGTCGTTTCGTCGCTCTGTCTCTGTCGCACTCATGAGGCTCTCCAAAGGGTGCGAGAGAGACGGTGCGACAAACCGCTGTCCTGAACCACCCGGCTGCATCGTGGTCTTGATCGTCTTGATCTGCGACCCCTCGACCTTTTGACTCCAGTATTAGTATTATCCACGCCTTTCATTGGGGGACTTTTGGCACGGTAGCAGAAAGGGAGGCGGGGAGGGGGGGTTGCGGTTTCCATCAGTGGGCTGGCTAATTCCTGCCTGCTGCACGCTGATGGCTGATGGCGGGACGTGACAGTCACTGGCCATGTGATGTGTGCTAGGTCCTCTCCCTCCCGTTAAACTCATTTGCCCCACAACATGACAGTATTAGTTTTCTTTCAGGGCTCCAGAAAATTTTGACTTTGTTTATATTTTGGAAAATTTGTGTTTACAGAATCCGGCACATCTAACTCATCATGGAGTCAATTTCTGCCCCCGATTCAAGCAACCCAAGGAGAAAATTCTACGGCCCAACAATGTTGCCAAGGAAATCCTTCTGGAGGTGGAGAACCTCCCTCATCCCCAGGTTGGGCACACAGGCTTCCAGTGCATTGTCACCATTGAGACTTCCAAGATGATGGTCCCAGCCAAAGTTGAAAGTGGACGATACATTGTTTGCGACAAGACAACTGTAAGTGCATATTTTCTGTATGATGTTTCGGCTTATTTTAACATTGTCTTACCTGCATTATTTTCTCTATGTTAACAGTATTCTTATGAAGCTAACACTGGAGAATACGAGGCCACCGTGAGTGTTGTGTGGAACCGTAACCACCATGTTGACACAACAAACATTATTTTGTACAAGTGTGAGATTCTTGGCTCTCACCGAGACCATCCAGACTGCTCTCTGTGTGTCACTCGCAATGCTAAGTACCAATGCAGCTGGTGTGGGAACACATGTAGCTATTCACAGAGCTGTATCCACTCTGCTGCCAATGAATGCCCTAAGCCAAGAATTGATATGGTTAGTAAAAACAAAACAAGCTGAGTACCTGCATCTTTTAAGAAGTGCAACCGTGTCAATATAAACTTTTCGTCTCCTTCCAGATCAAACCTTTGAGTGGACCTATCGAAGGAGGAACATTGGTGACAATTGAAGGAAGCAATCTGGGACTGAAGGAAGATGATGTCCGTGGCAAGATTCGGATAGGCAGCACGCCTTGTGAACTGACACAATATGAAGTTTCTGTGAGGATTGTCTGTAGGACAGGAAGAGCAGAGCGTGAATTGTCTGCTCCTGTCATTGTTGGAAATGATGCTGGTTTCACTGAATCAACTGTGAGCTTCAGTTACAAGGTATGCCAAAAATTTTTTTTAAATAATTAATTTAATTTATTGGAAATGTTGGGCAACTTATACATATTCTTCTCTTTATATTTTCAGGACATCCAGATATCCGGATTGTTTCCACCAATGGGTCCCCAGAGTGGAGGCACACAGCTTGCCATTTCTGGGCAGTACCTGAACATTGGCAGCACAGTCCAAGCTTGGCTAGATGAACTTCCTTGTCACGTTAATGCAACTCAGGCTTCAAGTTCCCGACTCACTTGCATCACCACCCGAGCACCATCTGCTAGAGTTATTCAGAGATTAACTCTGAAAATTGATGGTGCCAATAGGACACTCTCTGGTTACCCATTCAATTACACAGTTGATCCAACAATTCTGGAAATCAAACCCCTCAGGAGCTTTGCGTCTGGTGGCCGTATGATTACTGTTCATGGCACTAATCTGGACACAGTTCAAAAGCCAGAGATGGTGGTCTATCTAGAGGGTGACCCAAACCCAATCAACCGATCGGCAAGTATAAATATGATGGAAACCTTAATGTCACTGTCACCAGCTAGAATTTTGCTAACCTACTGTTTCCTTTTTTCTCAGGTTTGCTACGTACTTAATACAGCTCAAATGGAATGCCCTTCACCACCCATTGATAGTAGAACACTATCTGAAGCATTGCGGACGCGAAGATCCACTGTGGCTCTCCCGGCTTCATCACCCACGGAGTCTGCCACTTCCACAGTTTCCTTGGTTCGCTCCCAAGTGGCTCGAAGGAAACAGTTGCGTTCACTGACTGGATCTAGTGGCACAGGGAAGTCACCACCACAAATAAACCTTCATATTGGGTTCATTATGGATGATGTTGAATCAGCTGTGGAGCTGGGCAAACACTTTCCATCTGTCCCATCCCAACTGTTGTATGTGGAAGATCCAAAGTTCTTCCAATTTCCTAAAGACATAAAACTTTACAAGGGTGACACACTGGTCATTGAGGTATGTAAAAGCTGTAGCTGCATCAGTTTTTGATATTTATGGCAAACTCATTCAATAACTAATTTCTTTTGTTTCTGTGGTATAGGGAGAAAATTTAAACTATGCATCAGATGAGTCTGATGTCAATGTTACCATTGGTACTCGACAATGCAATGTTACCTCCCTGGCTCAAACCCAATTGGTGTGCTCCCCTCCTGACACTCAACCATCTGGGACAGACGAAACTGGAGCCAGAACAGACAGTGGTTTGCCCTTAGTTGTCGTTCGAGTGGGAAGGTCATTGCGATTTCCTATTGGCTCCCTCCGATATGAAGTGATAAAGCCATATGCATTCCCACCAGAAGCTATAGCAGGCATTGCAGCTGGAACATTCTTCCTTGTTGTACTCTTTGCCATTGTGCTTGTGGTGTACCGTAGGAAATCAACTCAGGCTGAAAGAGAATACAAACGGATCCAAATCCAAATGGACACCCTTGAAAGCAATGTGCGGTCTGAATGTAAACAAGGTAAGCTCAAATATTTTTTTTTTTGTTATTTTCACTTTGTATTTTTTATTTTAACTTGACTTGATTTGGTTGGGGTTTCTTGGGTTTGGTATTTTTATTTTAATGGGTTGTATAACTTAATTTATGTTTATCATTTGTTAACTCAACTAGGCTTGCTGATATCTAAGTTAACAGCTAATTTTTATTATGTACAACTTTGGTAAAAATACCTGATAGGAACTTTTAAAATCTTTGCTAAAATGTGCCCTTGCCCCTTAAATTTTGTTCTTTCAGCATTTGTCCAGATGTGTACTTGGGACCCCCGTCGCAATGGCAGTTCAAACCTCAGCCCACATGGTATTGCACTTGGATATCACAGCGCGTGTTGCATTTTGCATTATGTGGCTTTAATGCAGTTCATATGTGTGTTACATCCAAAAGTGGAACTCCTCTCTTTAATTTGCCTCTTGGATAACCAAATTCAATTTTCTTAAATAATAGAACAATCTTGCATACCATATATAGCCGCATATAGCTCTTGTCCTCAGAGAGAGTGAGAGATTTGTCTCCTTTTTGTGAAAGCCAATAGTGAGCTCAATAGTCCTCTCTGTCGCTGTCTCTAACCATTAACAACAGCTTCATGTTGGATGTTCAATTGCATATCAGTTGCTCCATGGTTGCTCATTTTTCTGTGCTTTGTCATGTGCTGTGCGCTGTTCTGTCATTGCGCTGATGTTGCTGGGTGGTGCCAACTAATTGAGTTCTTTCCGTTCAAACTCATAATAGCAATTGCATGTAATCGCATAGTAAGATTTACTTGTAACTGTTTGCCTCCTAAAAAAAGATAAAAGAAGAAAAAAAGAGCTTGACTGTCATTATTATAATAAAAATTTTGTTTGTCTTCTATGTACGAGCCAACGCGCTTTTTGATAACTTAAATAGCTAAAAGCAAACAAACAATCGGAAACAGGGACTCCTTTGTATTAGCAATTATTTTCTCTAGGGTGTATGTGCCATTTCCTAGTAGGAAGTGGGGTTTTCATAATAATGACAGACTGTTTCTTTAAATAGAACTTTTCTTTCTTACAGCATTTGCAGAGCTGCAGACAGACATGACTGATCTTACAGCAGATCTGGTCTCTTCTGGTATTCCCATGCTAGATCATACAAATTACATCCTCAAAGTCTTCTTTCCTGGTGTTATTGATCATCCAATTTTAAATGAGCCAAAGGTATGTTCTCTACAGAAATAAATTTTAAAAAAGAATTTTTAAAACATCTTTACAGTTTACATGTGCTTATTAATCTCATCCAATTTTTAATATTCATTCCAGGTCCGAATTAATGGTCCACGGAATAACTATGATGCAGCAATGCTACAATTTGAACAACTTATTGGCAATAAATGTTTTATCTTAACTTTTATTGAGACTTTGGAGGCCCAGAAAAGTTTCAATATTCGGGACAAGTTAGTTTTCTTTCATTACATTGTTACAATCTCTACAACTTACTTATTAATGATTTACTAACAAATGTTTCTGCCATTTTATTTTCAGAGTTAATGTGGCTTCTCTTCTCATGGTTGTTCTTATGAACAAAATGGAATACGCTACTGATGTTTTGCGGTCTTTATTGTTACGTCTCATTGAAAAATCTGTGGGAACTAAGCACCCTCAGCTCATGTTGCGTCGCACAGAATCAGTTGTTGAGAAAATGCTGACGAATTGGATGGCTTTATGTATGTATGGCTACCTGAAGGACTGTGCTGGCTCCTCTCTTTTCCTCCTATACAAAGCCATCAAGCACCAAATTGAAAAGGGACCAGTTGACACTGTGATACATGATGCAAGATATTCACTTTCTGAAGAACGTTTGCTGCGTGAACAAATTGACCATGGCACTGTCATAATTCATCTTGTTCAGGAGGATCCACACTATGAAAAAATACCTTACCAAACATATCAGGTAGGTCTTGATTTCATATTTGTTTGAGCCATTTGCAAATGTGACTTTATGGTAATATTCTTTTGTGACTTTTGTTTGCAGACACTTCATATTGTCCAAGATGAGGTGGATGATAAAATTCAATGTAGGGTATTGGACTGTGATACAATCAGCCAAGTAAAGTCAAAAATTTTAGATGCTTTGTATAAAAATACACCATTTTCATTGCGGCCATCCATTCATGAAGTGGATCTTGGTAAGTTCATTTCCTGAAACATAGAGAACTGATATCTTTACTAAACTCATTTTTCAAATGTATATAAATGTATTTATCTATTCACAGAATGGCGTCATGGAAGAGGAGGACATCTCACTCTTCAAGATGAAGATCTATCCACTCAGTCAATTGGTGGTTGGAAAAAGTTAAACACTTTGGCTCATTATGGAGTCAAGTCATCTGCCATCATGTCATTGATTCCCAGGCAGAATGAAAGCTTCAACAATGCTAATTGCAAACAAGCTTGTCATAACTGCACAGGATATTTTGGCAATTCACTATCACCCATAATTCCCTGTGATTTGGAGCAAGGAGCCAATACTAAAGTCTTCCATCTTGTAAAACCAGTAGATGATTCTCACTATCTTAGCAATTCTAAAACTGGTACAGTTGACCGCGACAGAGAGCGGACACACAAAGCAATACCAGAGATCTTTTTAACTCGTTTACTGTCTACAAAAGGAACCATTCAGAAGTTTGTTGATGATTTCCTAACAACAATATTGACAGCAAATGAAATGTTACCTCCTGCTGTAAAATGGCTGTTTGATCTTCTTGATGAAGCAGCTAGAAAACACAACATCAGTGATCCTGAAGTTGTTCATGCATGGAAATCAAATAGGTAATTTAATTTTCCATTGATTTAGAATGTTGTTGGGAAACCTAGCAAGGCATCCATATAACTGGTTTCTGCTTCATTTTTTCAGCCTTCCTTTGAGATTTTGGGTCAATTTCATCAAGAATCCGGATTTCATCTTTGACATAAACAAAACTCCAACGGTGGATTCATGTTTGTCTGTGATAGCACAAACATTTATGGATGCTTGTTCAACGAGTGAACACCGGCTAGGAAAAGATTCACCATCCAACAAGCTCCTTTTTGCCAAGGATATTCCAAATTATCGACAAATGGTGTCAAGGTTCTACAGTGAGGTAGCTGAGCTCCCTCAAATAACAGACCAAGAGATGAGCACGGCAATGCAGCAACTCTCTGCCACAGTTTCTCAAGCAAGTCAGTTTGACACAGTGTCAGCACTCAAGGAGCTGTACATCTATGTCACCAAATACAGCGACCAGGTGAGTGCAGCGATGGAGGCCCATTCTAGGGCACATGCCCATGCTCACTCACAAGCTACGTATGCCTTGTTGCATCAGTACCCCCATTCAACTCTTGCATCTACTTCCTCTGCTTATATGTCTCAATCCAATAACTCCCATCCTACTATGTATGCTCCTTCAACGTCGTATGGTCGTTCCCAAAATGCTTCATGTCATCCTGTACTTGAAAATGACGTTTTGTCTCATTGTGACTGTCCTTGTGGAGCTAGTGATTTCAGATTTCAAAACCAGTTTGATTAGTAGTAGAAGTTGCCATCTAAGTCAAATGAATTTTGTATAAAGTATGTAAATTGAATGATGGAAACATCAAAAACGACTGAGAATTAGTTTTAGGTGACCTGCCTTGTCATTAAATGTGTTAATAGTGTGGCATATGTAGATACAGTAGCAAGTATGTGTAATTTAGATTGCTTACCAATCTGTAGTTAGAATTTATTTTGTTGCCATGCTTTCTTGGGGTAACTTAATAATAGTAAATAAAGTTACCACAGCTCCTAATTTGCTGGAAGAAAAAGTTGTGTAAGTTAAAATTTGGACTGGTGTAAGATAATCCTGTCATATATGCCTCAATCAGACAAGTTAATTTGATGCCTCATCCTATCAACCAAATGTCTAGTTTAGTAAGTCTCTTTAAATGAGGTTGCCTTAAGCTTCTTTTTTAGGAATGCAGTTAAAAATCCATATGTTGAAGATCACGAAAACTTTGAGGGGGTAGATGGCTGCGATTTATCAATGAAACCGAAATTTGTAGTAACTTATTTTGTTAGGAATGCCCTTCACCCAGGACTTACTTTGCATCACAGTAGTAGTAATTGACCATAAATTGTGTGGACAATTTCTTTTGCTATTGGTGTGCTATGTTACTTTTGCTTTGCGTAGTGCATGGCTGGAAAACAGCATGATAAACTGTTGTTATAAATTGCAAATTTTATTGCTGTAATGTTTTGTAGAATTTATAAATGCAAAAATTTATTTATAAATACTGTTGTATTTTGTATCTATTTTGTAAAATTTGTAAATCTTTGTTGTTACTGTAAAGCAGTTGCTTATAAAGCTGTGCTCAAATGGTACTGCTACACCTAATAAATTTTTTTTAATTAATGAAAGACCTTTAGCTCTATTACTTTGATTATGCTTCTGCCTTGCTTACCCGTGGTCCAAGACTTTTAACCAGGAATGGGAAGGGGATGACACGTTCATTCAACACAAATGTGCCTTCTAGCAGCTGCTAAACTTTTCCAAACAGGAACTCAAGAGACAATTGATTGTTCCCTTCTCAGTCCTGCCTAGAACACCAAATAATTAGAAAACAACTGCTTAAGCTTTGCTTATCCACAACAACACTTACACATTGTATCGTGAACCTTCACAAGAAACAAAGAGTGCATCTGTCCAAGTATGTATTATAGAATTGTAAAGCACGCTGCACAATATTTATTTGCTGCTTGAATCCACTTCACTGTTAGTTATCTGATAGATTGTTGTGTTTTCCTTCCTAGTGTTCATTCAGAAATAATGGCAAAACAATTTTTTTATTAGTCATGATTAATAAATGTGTAACTGTCTTTTTTCTCATCTCCTGTTCACAGATCCTGGACTCACTAGACATGGATCCCTACTGCAAGAAACTTCATCTGGCCCACAAGCTGGAAAATGTTTCGTGTACTCTGGAAGGAGAAGAAACATCTACCTGCTGACAACGGATGTCACCTGACCTCCTGCTAGCTAACCACTACTAAAAGATTGTGGTGGTTGTCTAGCAGAGCATGCTGTGATCACTGCGAAAACTCACAGCTCTTAAACTTAGCTCCCAACAAAGGTTTTATAGATAGCACTTTCCCACAAATAGTACCAGTAATGTAAACATTTTTTCCTTCTCAAAAGTGTTACAGTCTCAAACCATTATTAATATAATCTGACAAACCCAGTAGCTGTAAGATTGACTGTGATAATTGCTATATCTCATCAGAACATTGTCACATTACATTATTATGTGTGTGCACTCATAGGGAGCTAGTTTAGGATAGGTCAGGTGACAATACTGATTTAGGGGACAATACCAAACAACTATAGATTGTATTACGACTATTATTTTTGTTTGCTATGCCTAATTATGGATCAAAGGTTGAAAAAGGAAACAACTTTTATGTCCAAAAATATGTTAAATATGTGAAATTTCCAAGATTTAAGTCATCTGCAGCAATGAAAATACTGCATCTATAATGTAAATAGAATATTTTATCTCTGTAAAATTTTATACAAAATATTCTAGATATTCTATTGTGGAAAGACATGTTAAGAACTTCTTGAATAAGCTGTGAGAAAGTCCATAGTTTTTATTACTGGATTCTGTAAATATGTAAGATGTGAAAGATAAATGTTAAATAAGAGTGTGATAATTATTACAGATATTGATTTTGTATACTTGATGTTCAAGGATAGAAAATTAAATCTGAAGTTGTTTCTTTGCCTTAATTTAAATTTATTGTAAGTCATACCCTTAGCTCCTCATTTCATTGAAGTATCTTCTAGGGTGGATTTATTTTGAATCTGTGCCAGGTGATACCTCCGAGCTTGATGTAGAGCAGATTTTCGCAATGCGAAAAAGCCACTTCCTAGCTGTGTTAGAAGGAGCACCAACATAACGATTTCTACTGCAGTTTCTGCTGGCAAAGGCCATAAGGGAGGACTGAACAGTAGCAATAAGTGAAGAGGCAACTGCAGAACAATGGATAGAACCCAGAAGCCTGCCAATTCTGGAACCTGGAAACAAAAGGGAAACGGCTTAGTACAAAACAACAACAAAACAATTAGTGGCTACCTTAATAAAAGAGACTTTACCTTTTCAGACAGGTTTCCCAGATACCCCAAGTAAAGACGAACACACTCGATAATGATCAAGCACACTAAAATTAATATTAAGATAAATTTGTAGATGGTTGAAAGGTATTCATACTAGGGACAGAAAATAAAGGTTGCTATTAAACAATCTTAAATGACTCCAGAAAAAATTAACTGCACTTCATGAGAAAAAAAAAACTCTTACCTTAAAACTCAGCATTGTAAGAGTCGTAGCGATCCAAAAAGGGAAAAATATCACATTGAAGTAAAGGCTCATTTGCAATGGAAGACATGATGTTATTTCATGACCTAGGGGGGAAAACACTAAGTTTATTACTGAAAAATGTCAGGCAGATTTAACAGAAGTACATGACAGAGGGCTATTACCTAGACTGATAAAGTCTCGATGTTCACGGTTGTGATGAAGGCTCAACCCACGTGAAACTTTTTCCATTATCGTTGGGGTGAAATAATGAAATTCAAATGCTTTCAACGCATCTTTCGAATCACTTCAAACAAAAGTAAACAAAGTGACAGTACAAGTACAACGGTATCAAACTAGTCTCGCAGCAGGCTGCTATATAGCACATTTGCTGCAGTGGAGGCAGGATACGAGATCAACTGCCGATTAAGAAGCATCTACCCCATCGGGGAAGAATTGGAGGCAATTCAAGTACAATCAAAAGTACTTTTATTTGTTGTTTTATGTTGGACAAAAAGCCAGCAGGGATATCGGCTTCCTCTCAATGCTCAAACGAGCTATACTCTCTCACAAAACACCTCAGAGGAGACTAGCGGGTGGTTGCTATGGCAACGAGCCCCTCCCCCACCACCACCCCAGAGGAGCTCCCAGACCGGCCGCAGCGAGAGAAACAAACGTCAGAATCGTCGCAATGCCGGAAGGAATAAATAAATAAGATGCACACCTAGTTCACGCAAAGACCCGGGGACGGCGTTGGAATCAACCGTCACCCAGTTTAACATGGACTGTGTACCTGGCAGCAGGTTCTGAACAGGGATCAGAGCGTGCTAACATTTGACTTTTGCAATTAACGTTATTTATGTATGCCTGAACTACCCTAACTCACGATCAGACCACACTCTAAGCGTTTTCTAAGACGTTGTGCTGGCATTAAAATTCTTCCTAAATTTCAGGTGTTTGTGTAGTGTGTTCACTGGAGATGCTACCCAGATCAACCTAAAAATACTGGGCTCAATGAATGATCTTAAAGATAGCAATGAGGTGATAATTCTGAAACGCCATGGGCAGCAGGTGGAACAAAAATCACAGATGGATTTTAAAGATATTTAATAAAGAAGGAGATACATTTAGATAATGCCAATCTTGTTGGCCGAATCCAGAGCATCAAAATCTCTCGTAAGTCTCACGTACGCCTTCTTCTTGCCGTCAGGCCTGGAACCAGACAAATTGTTTCAGTAAAATTGAAAAACATTAAATAATTGACAAGCAGTGAGAAAACACGCACCTGACGAGTGTGTTAACCTTAGCAACATCAATATCATACAGCTTCTTGACAGCTGCCTTGATATGGTGCTTGTTTGCTCTAAGGTGAACAAGGAAGACTAAGGTGTTATTATCTTCGATCTTCTTCATTGCTGCTTCAGTGGTGAGGGGGTACTTGATTATATTGAAGGCATCCATCCTACAAGAAAATAAAAATTAAGCATTCCACTAAGCGTTGGTGACAACTGAACAATCAAGGCACACAAACCTGTTTCTCCTGGGCACGGATTTGCGGGGATATTTGGGGTTACGGGGAGCCTTGAAGGTCTTGGGGCGGTTGAAGTGAACTGAAGTCCTAACCTTGCGGACACGAGTGCCGAAGGGTCCCTTGATGACCTGTAAACATAAGTGAACAATTTAGAATTTGATACCTTCAATCAAGGGTCTCCAGTCAAAGTATTGTAAAAAGTTGCTTTAGATCAGGAAACAATTATCTATTCATTAGATATCAGTGAAACTTCCACTTGTTTAAGGACATCATGTTAAAGCAACTTAGAGACAACGCAGTGATCTAAAATATTCTGTAACTTCAGGTCAGGAACAGTTATCAGTTCATGAGGGAATCAGTGAAACTTCCACTTGTTAAAATGCATCATACTGAAGTCACTAGAAGCAACAATTGATGTGTTACATTGAAGCAATGCACTTGGAAAATCATTTATAAAATATGACTGAACACCTTACATCAGGATAATAATAGTTTCACATATTATCAATAAAACTTCCACTGATTAAAAGACATCATTGTAAAGTGACATGAGTGAAATAGTCTTAAAACATAAACACGCAAATTTAAAAAAATAACGCACCTTCTTCTGGACCTTGCGGGCCTTGTCGAGGGCAGCCTTGGCAGCCTTGACAGCGCCTCCCTTCTGGCCCTTGGGCACAACCTTGGTGGGCTTGGCGCCAGCCTTGCCCTTGGTGGCGGTCTTGGCAGCTCCCTTCACTGCGCCCTTCGCTCCCTTGGCAGCCTTGGCAGCCTTGGCAGCGACTTTGAGTCCCTTGGCTGCCTTGGCGGCAGCGGCCTTCTTGTCGGCCGCCTTGGGCTTGGGCTTGCCATCCTTGTCAGCGGGCTTGGCAGCAGGCTTAGCGGGCTTGGCAGCTCCAGCAGTGGCAGCGGCCGCAGGCTTCTTCTCCTTCTTGGCCTCTGGCTTGGCAGCGCCTGAAACATTGACAACAAACAATTAGAACCGGTAACACGCGCACGACGGAACGAGCGGTTGTTGCCAGGAATGGGCGAGTATTCTAAAATGAAACAGCGGGTCGCGTCAACTGACGTCCAACGAAGGAATGACCACACGAGCCGTGTACATAACGCGGCCAAGGCGGCCATGTCGGACGGACAACAACAAGAGAGGTTATGTTCGAAAGGAATGCATAGCCTAGAAGGGCGACTCGACTACCCTACTTCCTTACATCAGTTACAAAGGCAAATAGGAATTTTGCGCACACAGGACTGCTAACGCCCACTGTTTTAGAGCATCCTGACAGTTTTGAGAACAGTTTGGTGTCGACCATGTGGCCATTACAAACCCATTCACACCCGCACTAGGCAAACTTTCCGATTGGGATCCAATTTTCGATGCGAATATAACGCGAAATTAAGTACACACGACAAATTGTGATCGACCCAACGCTAAATTCACCCCTTTCATTAATATTTACCAGCTTTGTCGCCCGGCTTGGTCTGTTTCGGTGGCATCTTGGTACGAAAGAAGAACAGGAAATTGCCGGAAAGGAAACGTGGTGAGAGGCTGAGGTGCGTTCACGCTTCTTCACTGTCGGCGCGGAGCCTCGCAACCGACCATCGGTCATTTTTAGTGTGGGTTGTCGCCGCTTGTGGCGCTTTAAGCGCAACGCCCCCCTCCCCCTCCCCTCCCTCCCCACTTCAGCTTAGATTGTGTTGTGGATCAGCCCAGAAGACACAAACATTATATATCTCTGACCTAAGTGGTGCAAACTTTTTGGCTCATGCGTTTTCGTCTAGTTTGAAGATTTCTTGATGGTTCACGAGCTCAAAGCCGGAGCCGCGCACGGGAAGCGTGGAGAAAATAACAGAAAAACCTCGAATATGACAATGGGGGAGGAGTCGCCCGTGTCGTCTCTCGTACTTCCAGTTTTAATACGTCCCATTCTGTCCAAGGTTTGTATAGATATTGTGTGCCTACCCTACAGTACTTTTCTTTTTAAGTACTTGTCTGTCTTCATCTTTTATTTGGGAGCCGTCGGTTGGGACAGAAGTCAGACGACTAACCCTGTTTTTTTCCCCTAGTCTATGGTATTTTGTCAAAGATTTATGGCTGCTCTCCTGTAGTTCCCAACGTAGTGTTGATGATCTCCGTTTCGTTTTGTTACTATTTTCTACTGTTTCTTTTTTTTTTTACCTAGCTTGAACGACGCGATGTTGCTGCCTCCCAAACTCTACGAGCTGCCCTCTCAAAAGCTGAAATGGCACATCCAGGATTCACTTATGATTTGGTCCTTGGAATAATGCAACGGGGAGAGTTTAGTGTCAATTTAAATGAAACAGTGTTACGTCTCCAAGGAGCAGCCACTGATGCTGATAGTAAGTAATGGTGTCAAAAACCATTTTTCTGTATTGGCCATTGGCCTTCCGAGATTAATTTGTTATCTGATTCATTTTACAGTGGTAGAGTACCGACTTAATCGTTCAGAAGATGCATTCCAAGAACTCAATAAAAAATCAGCTGCGTTGAAGAAGATTTTGTGCCGAATCCCTGATGAAATAACAGATCGTCAGACCTTCTTGGAAACCATAAAGTATGTTAAATTACCTCTTGCATTCAATCAATTATTTGTGAGAGTCGTCACTGTGAATTGTCACTCTGATTTCCAGGGAAATTGCAAGCGCCATAAAAAAACTTCTAGATGCTGTGAATGAAGTGACTGGATTCATTCCAGGATCTGAAGGAAAGCAACAGTTGGAGCAGCGCAAGCGGGACTTTGTTAGATATTCTAAACGCTTCTCTAACACACTAAAGGAGTTCTTCAGAGAAGGAGAGTGAGTAATTTTTGTTTCTTTGTTAGTGCATTAGGGTTGCCACGCACCTGGAAAACCGGGAAAAATCTTGAATTGTCAGGGAAATTTTTAAAATCCCAAAAGCGTGGTAACTCTGGTGCACGCATCATGATTTTATTATTATTATTACCCTTGACTAATAATATTTTCCATTGTTTTCAGACCAAATGCTGTATTTGTGAGTTCTCTGTACCTTATTCATCAGACAAACAAGATTGTTGTTTGCGTAAAGAATAAATGTGAATAAATGTGTGATGGTCAGGTAACTTCAACTGCATGTTTACTGCAAGGAAAGCAAAACCAAAGGGAAGTAGTGTTGTCTTACATTTAGTTCCCAAGATTTTGGTACATTATCTAGTTTAAAAAGCATTATATTTTACTGACATATTTACATTATTGAACATATTGTTATTGTATTGTTAATTTGAACAATTGTTCCTTTTGTTTGCTGTACTTTAACTAGCTGCTTCTAATTTGATACATAGAGAAAAATTATTTTACATATTGTTAGTGAAGTTGAGAACTGTTGCCTACTCCTCTAGGAGCCCCTGTGTATGTGTCATCCTATTCTATCCACACGCAGGGTATTTTTTTAGGTTCGTTGTATTTTGGATGAAATTTTGTGAATTAATGTTTCAGTACAGGACAGACAAAAGGTTTTCTTGCACTCCCACTTTCCCAACCTGAATGGTGTAGTTTGTAGAATAACAGTTCTTTGCTCTTCAATTGACAAATAGCATCATTCAATAATGTGGTTTAAAGGTATTATATTGAAGGTATTTTTCTTATCGTTTAACAATTGTGAATGTGGTTTATTTACTTTTCTGAGCATTTAGGAGACATTTTCATGCTTACCTGCTGAGCAGTGCTTCTGTTAAGCAGCAATGTTCATTGAAAGTGTAATTGTCTTGACAAGAATTAAATATATTATGGTTGATTATTTGCGAAATCGATTATTTTCTCCTGTACGCAACATAAAAAAATCTTACGTGAAGGGACAGGGAAGACGAGCAATCTTACTGGGTTTGAGAGGAAAATGATATCATGTTTGAGAGTCTTCGGATGGAAAAAAGACAATTATTTTTGCTTCACTAAATTGTTTTTTTTTATTATTATTTATTTTTTAGATGCTTAAATACAGGAAGCTCCAGGAAGTTGGCAACAGCCTTCAAACACGTGTCAATAAACAAAACATTGAGTGTCAGTAAATATCTGCTTGAATTATTGAGAACACAGATACTACTAGCATTGAGAAAGAGTATTTGAAAATACATAAATTCAAGCTTATGTGGTACACATAACATGCTCTTTTTCCCTTAATTTTCAAAGCTATTGGAGTCTGCTTCTACATATAAATATTAACAAAATGTTGTGTTAAGGAAGTTAGCTTTTTTTATGTAAGACCTGTTTGCATTTGGGCCTAGGAGGATACAAATTACCAACACTGAGGGATATGCATGCATTTGTTCGAGTGCTGTAAATCGCTATATTCTTTACACGACCAAAGTGTTCCTGGACTGCGATAACTGCAGAGCACTTGAGAACACTTAATCTAAGACAGATTACACAGTACAGATTTGATGCCTCTTCTGTCATCAGTCCACAAACAGATATGCACCAATTATGTTATTTTAATGATGACAGCTATGCAGCTCAAACTTTTGGTTCTTTCACACACAAGAACGCAAAGATATTTACACTTCTTTTTCACTGACAAGTTATTTAAAATACTCTTAACTACACAACAGAGGTTCTAAGATTGAAAAACAACTAGGTCCATCAAACAGAAAATTAAAAATTAACACTCAATCTAAAAACTTACAGCTTAGGTAGGGTTTTTCTATGTCCTACTTTAACTCCTCCAGAATTTTTTTGATTTGACCCGATCAGTTGATCCCATTTTTACTCAGGCTCAGCAAGGCCCTCTATCACGGAAATCACACAATATCAGCAACGGAAATAAATGCCTAGGATATATGCATTAATAGCAACATCTCTTCGGATAAAAGAAAATAAATTATAAATGGTCAAAAGCCTTACCTCAGGACAATGTAAAAAACAGTTTGGAGAAGTGCAAGTTTTGGTTTCTATTTCAAAAGCTATCTGATTATCTAACCCAAATGCTTTCATTTATCATTCAAGGAAATAAGTGAATTTTACAAGGGAAGACCAACTAGGTAAACATGAATACATTAACTTTTAAGTCAACTTAATGGTTGTAAGGAAATTCTGTAAAATACTTAGCGAGTAAAACACATTAGCAGTTTCATCCAAATTGACAATGACACAACATGTAGTGTAAAACTACAAAAATACACAAGAATACGTTCACGCTCCAGAGTAGGTCTCTGTGAGTATCTTGGTACTAGAGCTGCTTGAACTCCGTGGGAAGCGAGCCCTCCAAAATAGTCAGAGCTGGTACAGTATGCCACACAACCCCGTACAACGAGAAGACATAAATGCATTAAACATCACAAACTAGAACAACAATAGCGTTAATGAGACTTAGATGTCTCTTTGTGCTACACCATATGCTTTCTTTCGAGGCAGATAATCTGGCAATGCACCTCAGCAGATTACGAAACACACCACCATAAAGTTAATTTCATCTCTCAGTTTTATGGTTTTCCATTGTGCTGCCGAAGGGCCACTGCAGTTTACCACGGTAGCCTCAATTAAACTTTTGGCAAAACACAACAACAAATGCAAAATAATTGGCACAAAAATAGACATCCTCAAACAAGATAATAAAAACGATCAATTAGAGATAAATAGCTCAGAAAGTCACAATCTTGCGACATTTTGTAATAACGGTAGTAGCCCTTGTTACACACATACACACGCGGTGTTCAAAGCAACCGTAGAATATTAAATCGAGTAAGCGTTCCACAAACTGTACAACTGAACGAACTGCATCGGCATCAACGCGAAGGCCATAGCCCGGTGCAGCGCCGTCATTGGCACACTGTCGAAAACGCTACGCCACCAATGGAAGCGATCGGACTCGTCTACTGCACACATCGCTCCATGGGGCTGGGTAGGTTCCCCGTCCGTAGATTTCTCTTGGAAAGAGGGAAAAGGCCTTTCCGTCTGAAAACAAAAGGACAAGCAGACCAACAATTTTATCATCAGCAATATACGACAGGAAAAATAAAAATCGTTTCATTTTGAAAATATCTCAGACTTTGAAGGCTTAGGGGTGGGGCGATCCCGCCGCCCCCACCCCTCGCTGTCTCTCTCGCACCCCTTGGGCACACCCCACGAGTGCGAGAGAGACAGAACGAGAGTACGGGCAGCGGAATCGCTCGAAAGGCAATTATTCAGATTGGCATTCACCTCGGCCGTCCGGCGGTCCTGGTCCTTCCCTTCAGGTCCTTCAGGTGGAGCAGGGCGGGCAGCTGGGCCGCTGGGCCTGGTGCTCCCGCACGAAGTCCCGCACGTTGAAGCGGTTGTCGTCCGGGTTGCCGCTCTTGCGGGACTTGAGCTCCCTGGAAGCATGAAGCACAGGACAGTAAGGCAAAGCAAAATTTTTAAAAAATATATACATAAACGATGAGCTGCCGAGCTGCCGCCTACAGTGTAGCGGACAGCGCGCGGTCACCAGTCCCGCGACATTCCGCAGAACGGCGAGGAATGGTGTAGTGTGTGTGTGTGTGTGAAGGGGGCAGGCGGAAGTGTGAGGGAAGCGCCGAGGGGCACGGGGGAAGAGGGTGGGAAGGAGGGGTGACGGTGAGGCACAGTGACAGTTCATTTCATTCATTCCATACATGTCTCATCCCATTCCCAACTAACTTGCTTCGCGCTCGCGATTCTGTTGTATTCCGAGGCGTGGCGTGGCGAGGCGAGGCGAGGCGGTCCGTGTCCGCCGCACACTTCCGTTCGCGAACGCGGTGCGGCCGTTTCCGAAGAAGCCTTTCGTCACTCTGCGTCTCTCTCACTCCCAGTGCGGAACGCCCCGTGAGTGCGACAGAGACAGAGCGACGAGACGATTCTCCGGAATGGAGCGGCTGGCACGCCTGGCCTTTGAAAAGCGTCGATATGGATCACGCCGGTGAAATAAAAAAGTAGGGGCGCGGTACTCCGGCACTCCGGCCTGCCCCGCCTGCAGACTGAGAGTCGCTCTGTCTCTCTCGCACTCATGGCGCGTCCCGTCTAGGTGCGAGAGAGACAGAGCGACGACTCTCGGAATCGGTCTGTGACCGCCACGCACAGCGAGACGCGGGGCGCGCGGCCCGAGAGAGAGAAGAGTGCCGAACGCAACGGCTCGGATCTCGTTCCGCACCGCTGCACGTGAAAGGAAAATTTCGTCGCGGAAATTGAGACGAAACACGGCGACACAGCGCCGCGCGGGTAGAGAGAGAGGGGGGGGGGAGTGGGGGAAGGTCAGAGCAGACGACAAGACACCGTCAGGCACGTGGGGCGGAGCCGGAAGACGCACGCGCGCATACACTGCATACACGCACGCGCGACCCCCCGGCGGATGGACAGTCGTGACAATCCCCCCATGTGCGCGTTACTATGTGTGTGAGTGAGTGAGTGAGTGTGTGTGAGAGAGAGAGAGAGAGAGAGAGAGAGAGAGAGAGAGAGAGAGAGAGAGAGAGAGAGAGAGAGAGAGAGAGAGAGAGTGGCGCGGCTCCTCTAGTGTCACGACAGGACGCGTCCGATCCAAACCCTGCCGTGCGGGATCATCAAGGACCAAAGGATCAAGGTACAACGCCTGGACTGCCGGCAGGGCGGCAGGACTCGCAGCCCTCGTTGCCGCGTCGCCGCCAAAGCAGGCGAGCAGCGAGGCAGCGAAAGCGCCCCTCTTGTAATTATCCGGTCCTGCAGACTGATTACGAAAGTGGTTTCCGTCGCTCTGTCTCCCTCGCACTCATAGGGCGTCCCGCGTGGGTGCGAGAGAGACGGGAAACGACTCTCGGCATGGGTCTGCTGGCGGCCTGGCGTCCTGGCCTGCCCGGCGGCACCGGGCGGCGCCGTGGGGGAAGGGGACGGATGAGGTTCAATCATAATGGGGGCTGCGATCCGATTACCCGCAGACTGACTCCGAGAGTCTCCCCGTCTCTCTCGCTCTCGTGGGGCGTGCCGTGTGGGTGCGAGGGAGGCAGCGCGACGAAAGCGACTCTCGGAATCAGTCTACAGTGGCGATGCGAGCGGCTCCAAAGGGAAGTGTTCGGGCCGCCATCTTCGGCGCGACGATATCCATCGGCCGGACGGCGGGAAAAAAAATAAAACAACGACGGAAGGGAAACGAGACAACAGGAAAACACGGCGGCGAACGTGGCAGGGAAGTGGGGCGGTAAAACGAAGTCGCCATGGCGGCGGGGCAAGGCCAGGCACGGCCAGGCACGGCGTGGAATGAGAACTCGCAGGACTGCTGCACAGTGGGCCAGAAGACCGGCCCACTGTGCGAGGCCGCGCCAGCCACGCCAGGGTCGGGGTAAAATAGCATTCCGCGAATCATTACCAGCGTTCCAGCCATCCGCCCCACTCCAGCCTGTCCCCCACTAACTAGCTCGCTCCAGTCAGATATTGAACAGCGACGCGGTCGACGTCAAATCCAACGTCCTTTTCAAATTGAATTCCACGCCGGAATGGTATCATCGACGTCGGTGGAAATTCGTCACCGTAAATCGAAGCATCGACGAGACTGGATTCGGTGACGATTCCGGATGCCCGGCTTCTTGTGGTTCCTGTCTCTCTCACACTCACAGGCCGTCATGCGAGGGTGAGAGAGAGAGAGAGAGAGAGAGAGAGAGAGAGAGAGAGAGAGAGAGAGAGAGAGAGAGAGAGAGAGAGAGAGAGAGAGAGAGAGAGAGAGAGAGAGAGAGAGAGAGTCACAAAGCGACGCGTCGATGCGAGCGCAGCCCCTGGCGCAGACTGATCCCTAGAGCGGTGACGTTGCCGCGACTGTGATGTGCTCGGGGCACGGCCGGGCACGGCGCACGTCCTGTCTGTACAGTGCAGGGCCGGACGGTCATATCCGCGCCCCGCCATGCTGCGCCGGGGGCGGACAATTAGCGTGTGCAGGCGGGCAGACGAGCCCGGCGCACAGTGGGCCGCAGGCGCAGGCGGCTGAAACTCTAGACGCGTTTTGAGCTCCAGCGTCGCTGAACAGGACTCGAACCGAACGTGTGACCCCAGCAATGGATTCCTCGTCCGGAGAGCAATCCAATGGTGGGGTCACACGTTCGGTTCGAGTCCCATTTAGCGACTCTGGAGCTCAAAACGCGTCTAGAGTTTTGGCCGCCTCCACCCGTCTTCTGGCCCACTGTGTGGCAGACAGCCAGGCGTCCAGCCAGCCGGAGCGCCTGCGAAACACGGGGCGGGCAGTCCCGCCACGCGCCTCTGTGGAGCGGGTGGCCTGCCCTGGCGATCACAGGCGCTCTGCCAGCCGCCTTGCCGGCAGCGCGCTTGGTCCGGTTCTTTGTCTCTGTCTGTCTGTCTGTCTGTCTGTCTGTCTGCCTGTCTGTCTGTTTGTCTGTCTGTCTATCTGACCCTCACAGTGTGTCCCCCTAAGATTGACAGGCTGCTGCAGGAGCTGCAGGCCACACGCCGCGTGCCTAAAGAAACGCAATCCTGGAATGGAATTTTGGATGTGTCGCTTCCCTATTCATAACGCTTGTAACACTTCCCGTTTACGAGGTTTACGAGATGCGGACTCGTAAAATCTGGAACAGCGCGTCCGCGCGGCCCTGGAAAGGTTCTGGAAGGGTTCTAGAAGGGTTCTGGAAGGGTTCTGGAAGGGTTCTGGAAGGGTTCTAGAAGGGTTCTGGAAGGGTTCTGGAAGGGTTCTGGAAGGGTTCTAGAAGGGTTCTGGAAAGGTTCTGGAAGGGTTCTGGAAGGGTTCTGGAAGGGTTCTGGAAGGGTTCTGGAAGGGTTCTGGAAGGGTTCTAGAAGGGTTCTGGAAGGGTTCTGGAAGGGTTCTAGAAGGGTTCTGGAAGGGTTCTAGAAGGGTTCTGGAAGGGTTCTAGAAGGCGTCTCCGCCCTTTTTGTCCTTCCTCGGGGCCGTGGCGAGGCGAGGCACCGCGATAGTGCGCAGAGTGTCTGTCTGTCTGTCTGTCCGTCTGTCTGTCCGTCTGTCTGCCCGTCTGTCTGTGAGTCCGCGAGCAGTGCGTTGCAGTGCAGCGAAGGCACCCGGGGACACCTCCAAAAAGCAGTCACAACGGGTCGGTTCAGTCAAAGATCGCAGTAACATCTCTCTCTCCCTCTCTAAAAAAAACAACAACAAAAGAAAGAAAACCAGCAGCAACAACCGTGGCAACTGGAGGAGCAGAGGCAGGGAAATGACAGAGAGTTGGCAAACGACGCGCCTCGCGCTGCGTTCTTCATTAATTTAACGCGACGGAAACGATAACGCTTCAGAGCGCCCCGAACGCTCCACAGACACACAGCACACTGCAGCGCAGAGCGACCTGCCGAGCGGGACAACGGCAAAAACAACAACAAGTAGGAAAAACAACAACAACAACAACAACAACAACAAGAGAAGACGCGCGTCGCGCAGCCCCCGACCGACTGTGTGTTTGTTTTGTTGCGCTGCTCAGCGCGGAAAGGACGTGGCTCTCGTGATTTTCAACGCGGCGCGCCACTGGAAAAGCGTGCAAAGGTCGGACCGAGGGGGAGGGGGGAGGGGGCTCGCGCCGGGCCAGATTAGCGAATTCCTTTGCGGTCCGCTGGGACGCTCGGCAAATGGGAGCTGAGGGACGACGGCTGGGGGAAAGTGAGAACACAGCAACGTTGCACAGTGGGCCAGAAGACCGGTGGAGGCGGCCAGAACTCTAGACGCGTTTTGAGCTCCAGAGTCGCTAAATGGGGCTCGAACCGAACGTGTGACCCCACCAATGGATTGCTCTCCGAAAGAGGAATCCATAGGTGGGGTCGTACGTTCGTTTCGAGGCCTGTTTAGTGGCTCTGGAGCTCAAAACGCGTCTAGAGTCTTGGCCGCCTCCACCCGTCTTCTGGCCCACTGTGCGTTGTAGTATTCCGTATTCCGTCGTCAGCTGCTTGCTCCGCTTGCCTCGCTCGCTTGCCTGATTCTTTTTTTTTTTTTTTGATGGCTTGCGAGAAAGCAGCCAGGCTTGCGTCGTCGTCGCGGAGGCAGGGATTAATTTAATGTACGGATTACGCGCGAGCCTCTTGAAACCGAGCCGTCCGGGGGCGGTGCTGGCGGTGGTGGCGACCCACTTTCCAAAACTGTAAGTTAGTTCGCGTGTTTTAAACTTTTTTTCAAATACTGTGATATTGTTTACCCAGGTGGGATCCACGAAATAAAATAAAAAGCTGTGTGTGAAAATGCGTAAAAAATCATTGTAACTGTACTAAAAAATGCCCCCCGCGACGTTAAAAAAAATAGAACTCGTTTTGTGAGTGAGCTGTACAGTTGAAGTACAGTAAAACACAGGTAGAAACAACGTCACCCGCAGGATAAATTTTCATACACGCACATTCATAAAATAAAAGGAGAGAGTACGACGAAGGCTGGAGTCTTTTCTAGAGGGAGATGTGCCCCGGGCGGCGAGCCGCGGCGCGCCCTGTCCGGTCATGGACAGCGTGCTTGGCTTGGCTCAGCCAGACTCGGTGCCTGAGCTCCAGCACGGCTCCAGCACGGCTCCAGCACGGCTCCAGCGCCAAGGGCCATGGGCGCCACGGGGCGCCCTGGGGGCCTAACACGCTCGTAGCGAGTAATGAGAGGGAACGCCCCGCCCCGCCCCGCCACGGGCGTGGCGTGCTGGGGAAAATGCCAATCACGTGATCCTCAGATGAGCGCAGCCAATGCGCGTGGCACTGCCCCCCTTTCCGGCCCAGCACCGCGTCTGGAGGCTGCAGACTGATTCCGAGATTCGTTTTCGTCGCTCTGTCTCTCTCGCACCTAAACGGGGTGGCCGTGAGTGCGAGAGAGACAGATCGACGAGCACGATTCCCGGAATCAGACTCCTGGAACTGGATTGCTTGCTCTGGAGAGAACTGTTGCGCGACACAGCAAAACCGTTGTTTTCAATGCCGAAAATCGGCAAGCCTGGCCCCAAAATGCTCCTCAGCTTGCCAAAAATGGCTGGACTAAACAGAACTGGACCTGAATCCCCACGCATACGTTCGTCCAGGCCAGCCATGCGAGTGGGCGGGGGCGGGGCGGTCCCGCCTCGCATCCATTCTGCTGGCTTTTCACAGGCGAATAAGCGTTGGCGAACAAACTGGGTGACTCTTGGGGGGGGGGGGACCACGTGGCTCTGTGCTCTGTCACGGCCAAACAGTGGCGTGGCAGGACTGAAAAGGGGGTGAAAGGGAGAGGACTCCGTCGCCGCTTGTGTGCGGTGTGGCACAGTGGCCCAGAAGACCGGTGGAGGTGTCCAAAATTATAGACGCGTTTCGAGCTCCACAGTCACTAAATGGGACCCGAACCCGACGTGTTACCCCACCAATGGATTCCTCGGGCGGAGACCCCTTCATTGGTGGGGTCATACGTTCGGTTCGAGTCCTGTTGAGCGACTCTGGAGCTCAAAACGCGTCTAGAATTTTGACCGCCTCCACCGGTCTCTGGCCCACTGTGCGAGGGTCGGGATGAGTTTCACCCCTGGAGTCCAGTGACTGGGCGGTAAAACCCCACAGGGCACACAGACGGGCAGGCAGACAGGCAGACAGACACACAGACGGGCAGGCAGACAGGCAGACAGACACACAGACGGGCAGACAGACAGGCGGACGGACACACGTGGTCACTCAGCCCCGCAGAGGTGAAGGCCTAGCCTGAAGCCCGGGAAACCGAAGGCCAGAAATATTACGAGAGAAATCATGCCCGGTCCAGCGGGCGGTCTCTGGAGCACGCTCGTGCGCGAACCAACGAGCTGGTCAAACGTTTTACCGCCCGAGGATAATAATAAAATAAATACTAAAAGGGGGGAGGGGAGAGCTGGCGCGAGCGGGTGAACATTGAAGGAAACGACTTGGTAATATTGTTTTGATGGCTACCTGCTGTTGGGGCGCCTCGAGCCCGGAGGGCCGCCGCCCCTCCACCGACCCTCTGCACAGTGAGCCAGAAGACCGGCGCTGTCGGACAAAACTTAAGACGCGTTTTGAGCTCCAGAGTCGCTAAACAGGACTCGAACCGAACGTGTGACCCCACCAATGGATTCCTCGTTCCGAGAGCAATCCATTGATGGGGTCACACGTTCGGTTCGAGTCTCATTTAGCGACTCTTGAGGTGGAAACCCGTCTGGGATTTTGACCGCCTCCACCGGTCTTCTGACCCACTGTGCCACTTGACAGTGTGGCAACTCACCTGGCCACGGCCATGAAGGCCACCTCCACGTTGAGCCCCGTCTTGGCGCTCGTCTCCATGAAGGCCACGCTGTACTCGCGGGCCAGCCGCTCGCCGTCCTCGCGCCGCACCACGCGCTCCGAGCAGTCCGCCTTGTTCCCTGCAACACCACACACAGCTAAAGCACGCTCACCAAAAACAATTCAAAAATTTGTTTTGTTTTGCCGCGCCACGGGGCGGACATCGCATATTGATCACGGCCGAATTCCTCCCGGATTGGTCGGCCGCCTCCGAAGTGCTCTGTCTCTCTCGCGCTCGCTCGGCCCCAGCAGAGCGAGGGAGACAGAGCACCGCCCGGAAGCGAGCCGCTGGAACGACTCATGAAATCGTGATTCCAGGAAACAAATCGGCAAGACGATGAGGCGAACAAACAGGCCAGACGGATGTATTCAGACTGCCGGCGGGGCCCGATAGGCCGGAGACGGAGAGGCCGGATGGGTTGGAAAGATGGATCAGGAGGAAGACCAAGGGACGGGGGTACTCTTTTATCATCGGTCCTTGCGGAGCGCCCGTGTGTGTGTTTGTCTGTGTGTGTCTGTGTGTCTGTGTGTGTGCGTGCGGGCTGAAGCCGCGAACGGCAGGCCTTGCAGTGCAGCAGCGAAGTGACTCGTCGTTCTGCCCGTCCTCGTTACTCGTTACTCCCCGGGACTCCCTGAGACTCCGCGCAGGAGGGCATCATTTAAATTTAACTCTGGCGAGGCCAGACCGGCGTGCCAGACGGTGCCAGAAAGAGGAGGCGGCGTCGCCTGCAGACTGATTCCGAGAGTCGTCCCGTCTCTCTCGCACTCGTGGGGCGTTCCGCATGGGTGCGAGAGAGGCAGAGCGACGGACGAAAGCGACTCTCGGAGTCAGGCTGCTGCCCGGCCCATGAGAGCCTGGGGCGACTTTCCAGGAGGTGGAACGCCAGGGGGGAGGTGAGGTGAGAGGAGCGGAGCGGAGCGGAGGGGAGGGGAGGGGAGGGGAGGGGAAGGGACTCTAGGAAGGGTTAGGCGGGGATTCGGAATCTGAAGGGGAGCGGCCAGGATCAAGAGTAACTTGAAGAAGGAGTGTAAGAGGAGAAAAGGGGGGGATCGGCGATGTGTTCCACTGCCGAGGATTTCAAGGAACAGCCCACGTCACGCTCGGCTCCAGGAAGATTGCGCGAGATTCGTTATAAAACGAACACAGACCTCAGTTGTCAGCGTGGCGTGTTGCGGACGCGTTACAATGATTTTTCGTGGCAGTTGCCTCACAGTGTAGCGCACGGGGACGCCGCCACACACACTGTGCTGCCCCTGGCCTCTGCCCTGGAAGGGCAGGGAAGCCTGGAAATCGGATGACTCTTGGCAGTAAACACGATCAGACAAAGAAAGGCGACAAAGGTTTGGAGGAATGGAGACAGCCCGGCCTCTCCCGGCCCCGCCTCGGCCCCGCTAGGCCTCGCCGAATAAGCCGATTGGGCGCCCTACACTGGAGAGGCTTCCAGGGCCGGAGCCTCCAGACAGGCCTCGAAGGGGCCTCCAGCGAGCCTCCAGCCAGGCCTCCAGGCGCCTCCAGCCAGCCTCCAGCTAGCCTCCAGCTAGCCTCCAGCTAGCCTAGCCTCCAGCTAGCCTAGCCTCCAGCTAGCCTCCAGCCAGCCTCCAGCCAGCCTCCAGCCAGCCTCCAGCTAGCCTCCAGCTAGCCTCCAGCTAGCCTCCAGCCAGCCTCCAGCCAGACCTCGTCCTCCGAGCCTCAGCCAGCGGGTCCCCAGCAACTTGTTGAGGTCAAGTGCCACAGCCCCCTCCTCGCCTTATTAAAAGCACTGAACAGCCGGCCGGCCAGAGCAAGCGGTTTTTTCTCCCTGCTTTCGGGGAGCTACTTCTCCCTCCTTTTACTACGGCTCTGTCCACACTCAATGTCATAAACCGATCCGGGGCCCAGCCCGAGGTACCGGCACTGTAGCGGCGCGACTACACAGAGCGGCGCTCCTTTTGCCTTTTTTCCCTGGGCTCGATTCTGGCCGTTATTTTTAACCTCGCGTTTTCCCAGAGCCCTTCGCCCATCCCCGGAGAACCATTCCAGGCCCCTCTTCCTGGATCACGTAATTATGGACCTTGCGTAACCTTTCCGAGCCTCCTAACATATTCAATAGCAGCCCCTCCCCTTTTTTCGACCTCAGAGGCAAATCAGTCCCGCAGTTTTGGCGAGCGGGACCTTGCAAATTTACATGTAAACCCGAGTGTAAACCCGTGACGCGTCACTGTCCGAAAAGATGGAATCGATTAAGAGGACGACCTTCTGCTCCTCTCCTCGCCAGAGGCGACTAGGTGACACAGGCTGAATGTATACTTTATTTTTAGGTTGATGTCTGTTTTTTATTGGAAAAAGGGCGCAGGGGGCTGGGAGAGGAAAGTGCAGAAAAACAAGTCTGGTCAACAATTTGCCTGGACGACCGTCAGCACCTGCCGACTACGGAACTGGAACTTCTGTACTTTTTTCCGTACCCGTTTACATGAGTTCACGTGGAGCAGAAAGCCGTGTTCGTCCTGTACTCTTCTGTATATTTCCCGTAAAAAAAAGTACGGATTCCTTTTTTTTTTACAGTGGAGGTGGAATTGTCCCTTTGTGACGCGGGCGGCGCGTCCGGCCGGGCCGCGGAAAGCACCTTATTGGATGAGTCCCCAAACAAGCACGGAAACACGGAGCGGGACGCCCTTTCGTCTTGCCAGTTTTTCACTCCGCCACGCCACGGCACGCCACGCCACGCCACGCCACGCCGTGCCACGCCACGCTCGCAGCCAGCAGACTTACTCGGCTCACGTTTCAGCCTCAGCCCGTGCTTATGCCTGCCTGGCTGGCTGGCTGGCTGGCTGGCTGCCCCCCGACTAATGCCTCTCATTTACCAACTTACAGCAGTCCGGAAGGCGCGCGCCCTGCTTCCTCAAGAAAATCCCAGCTGATAAATCAAACGACTTTCATAGCGCTATGGGGGATTTTTTGTGTGCTTTTTTTTCAAACCTTTTTTTGTGATGTATATTTTTTTCTAATGCTTCCCCTGGGCCGCTAAATTAAAAACGACGCGGGCTGACTGGACAGGAGAGACGTTACTAAAGGGCCGGGGGGGAAAATATGAGGAGGGTCGCCCGTCCCGGCCCAGACGTCACGTGACGTCACATGACGTCACCGCCATGTATATTGGCCTATCGCGGAGAAGCCATTCGGGTCCCTCTGGCCGCTACTCCGCCAGCCAGATGGCCTGCGCCGCCGCCCGTCTCTCTCGCACTCGTGGGGCGTCCCGGAGGCGTGCGAGAGAGACAGCGCCGTTCTGGATCGGCCCGCTGGAGTCGCTCACATTTCCAGCCGCTATGGCTTCGCCAGTGGGCTGGTTCCGAGAAGTCGTTTCTTGGCTCTTTCTCCGTCTCACACACGGCGAGTCCCGTAAGGGAGAGAGAGAGAGGGAGAGAGAGACAGAGACAGAGAGAGAGAGTCTTCGGAACGGCTCGGGTCGGGGCGGCGCGGCCGCGAGGCTGTCGCGCCTGTTCGGCCGTTCTCCGACTCCGCGGAGACGCACAACAAGTGGCGGGTCTGGAGCGCGCTGGAGCGTTATTGGAACAGGCTGCGGAGACACTGGCAGCCTGGCAGCCTGCCCACAGTGGGCCAGAAGACCGGCAGTGGTTGAAATACCGGGCGCGTTTTGAGCTCCAGAGTCGCTAAATGGGACTCGAACCGAACGTGTGACCCCACCAATGGATTGCTCTCCGAACGAGGAATCCATTGGTAGGGTCACACGTTCGGTTCAAGTCCTGTTTAGCGACTCTGGAGCTCATAACGCGTCTGTAGTTTTGGCCGCCGGCGCCGGTCTTCTGGCCCACTGTGCTGTACAAGGAAATCCGCGAAACGCAAAACGGGCGTAACGTGAGGAGATCGCTGCCGCACAGGTCCAACCGCTTTGATTTCAAAGGGATGCGGTGACGAAAAAAAAACACGTGTGCCCCCCAGTGAAATGAAACACTCCAGCAAACACGCCAAGTGACACGGAGCGGCCGGAGAGTCTGTCTCCCTCGCACCCCAACGTGACGCCGCATCAGTGTGACAGAGACAGAGCGACGAACCGACCCTCTCGGAATCGGTCTGCTTGCCGGCTGGGCGGCCCAGGCTGGACCGTTCGATCAGGCGGGCCTACACCGCAACGCCCAGGACCAGGAGGGATGGAGAAAAAAAAAGGACAGGGAGAACGAATACTCCTGGATAATGAGGTTGGAAAGAGAGGGGGAGAGGGGTGTGGGTGTGGTCACACGGGAAAGTTAGTTTCTCATACTTGTTGGATAGAAATACGGGAGGGGGGGGGGCCGAGCACGGCCGGCCGATGACGAACCATCCCCCTCCTCCCCTGCGGTCTTTTGTGTCCTTGATTGGAGATATTTTCAGAATTTTAATCGAGAATCGCTAAAGCCATGGGCCGGCAGGCCTCGGTCGCCGTCGCCGTCCCAGCCACACGCAGCCTGCGCTGGTCTTCTGGCTCACTGTGCAAAATTACGTCGGAGTGAACGGCGTTTTCACATTTGGGGAAGCAAAAGACACTCACCCAAGAGCATGATGACCACGTCGTCCTGCGCGTACTCCCGGATCTCGCCCAGCCACGCGCGGATGTTGTCGAAGCTGGTCTTGTTGGTGACGTCGTACAGGAGCAGCAGCGCTGCGAACGGGGAGAGTGGAGTCGATCACGGAGAACAACAACAACAACAACAACAACAAGCGCGGGCCACCGCTTGACCTCAAACGCGCTGCGCGCGTACGAGTTACAGAACTCTAATACTTTATGGAACAATGCGGACCCTGTCGGTTCCCCGAGTTGTGCAGTGCTGCCGAACATAGGACCGCGTCCGAAAACGACTCTCGGAGTGTGCAGCCACTCACCGTGCGCGTCCCGGTAGTAGGCGTGGGTCACGCTGCGGAAGCGCTCCTGGCCGGCCGTGTCCCAGATCTGCAGCTTCACCTTGACGCTGTCGACGGTCACCAGCTTATTCTGCAACACACGCCACGCTGCCGGTTCAAAACCTCCACCCCTCGGGCGAGAAAAGCGGAAACGACAAACAGCGAAAAGCAGGAGCAGAGTGGCACACTGAATGAAGCGGGGAGCTCTAAACAAGGACGAACCAACGCACAGTGCGTCAGAAGACCGGTGCGCAGGCGGTCAAACTCCCGGACGCGTTTTGAGCTGCAGAGTCGCTAAATGGGACTCGAACTGAGCGTGTGACCCCATCAATGGATTCCTCGTTCGGAGAGCAATCCATTGGTGGGGTCACACGTTCGCGTCCAGTCCCATTTAGCGACTCTGCAGCTCAAAACGCGTCCGGGATTTTGACCGCCTCCACCGGCCTTCTGGCCCACTGCGCATCATGGCGGTGGAATGGCGCGGGATGGAGTCGCGTTTCAAAAAACAGCCCCCCTCCCCCTCGAAATAACATTAACCGTCGGCGGTCGTAATTATTGGCAGCGCTGCCGACTGCGGAAGTAGGCTGGGAAACGTAGACAAACAGTGGCCAAGCGAGCAGCCCGGGCAGCCCGGACAGCCAAGGCGGTGCGGAACGGAACACACAGAGCCCCATCCGGACAGACGCTCGTCTAATCCACACTGATAAAAAAAATGGAAGAAGACGTTGACGTCGATGGTAGACTTCTCTCCGCCCTTTGAGTACTCCCCAGTGAGAGGGCGGTGCGGGGAGGCGAGGCACTACTGTGTGTACACATCATAGCAATTTTCCGGCCCGGCCTTTCCCCCGGGCAATCCTAAATTAGTTCACACTTGACTGGGCCACGCTTTGACTGGCTCCACCTTGGCTCCCGCGGTCGGCTGCGTGGCCGTGGCCGTGGCCGTGGCCGTGGCTCCCCGGGCGCACAAGTTTGACGCGCGAGGCCGGGGCCTTGGCCATGGAACCGGTGGGCCCGCCTGGCGGCTCGACTCGACACGTCTCGACGGACAGGAGTGTTCTCAGTCCGCCGGGGGATGACGATTCCCGCCAAACCCAGCCGGCCGCACAGTGGGCCAGAAGACCGGTGGAGGCGAACAAAGTTCTGAACGCGTTTTGGGCTCCAGAGTCGCCAAACAGGACTCGAAGCGAGCGTGTGACCCCACCAATGGGTTGCCCTCCGAACGAGGAATCCATTGGTGGGATCACACGTTCGGTTCGAGGCCTGTTTAGCGACTCTGGAGCTCAAAACGCGTCTGGAGTTTTGGCCGCCTCCACCGGTCTTCTGGCCCACTGTGCAACGCCAATACAAACTTACCGCCAGTCAAGGAGGGAATATTACCACCTTTCGAGTTGTTCGCAAGGCCCGGCAAGGCCCCATGAGTGCAAGAGAGACAGATCAAGCCGGCGCCCTTTCCCCCGAGACGCCAATTTAAAGTAGTTTTCGGGGTGCGCGGCGCGGCGCCTCGGCTCCGGGGCGGCGCCATCGGGAACACAAGGGCCCCGGATTACGCTCCTTCCCTTTATGGCCAGAGAATCAATCTGTCGAGCTGATTGAAATCCAAGGTGAAGGCTGGGGACGCAAGGGAAAGCCAGGAAAGCCGGGAAAGCGGGGCAGGGAAACCGGGAAATCCGGGGAAAAGCGGCCTCCTGGGGCGACTCGCCATCGCCACAGTTTATGAGTTTATTTTGCCTTTGCCGTCGACGCCACGCGCGCGGACGCCGGGCCGCCGTCGTGTTCCATTTTCGCACTGCAGGAACACACACACACACGTACACACACACACACACACACACACACACACACACACACAATCGGCCGCGGGGCGGCCGATATTACAAGTCTGTTCCGCTCGCCCTCTCCCCCTCCCTCCTCCAGGCCCCTGCAGCATCTGCATCACGCTCTCTCTCCCTCGCAGCCAATCAGCTCCTTCGGCTGCGTCACACGGACAGGGACACACACAGACACGCGTGCGCTCTAGATTGAAGCGGTTAAAACAAATACAGCGACACACAGACACATGGACGAGGAGTACGGCGACGCGGGTCCCCTTGGGGTTCCCGTGGACGACACACCATTCACAAAGCGACTCGTCTGCTAATCGAATTCGCGGCATGCAAGCCTGCAAGCATGCTGCAAGCCGTGCTGCTTGCTGCTGCTCACCCTGAAGTCCACGCCCACGGTGGAGATGAAGTTGCCGCTGAGGAAGAATCCGTTCTGGAAGCGCACCAGCAGACACGTCTTGCCCACGCCCGAGTCGCCCAGCAGCATCACCTTGCAGACCAGGTCGTAGTCCTCGCTGGAGCCCCGCGACACCTGCCCGGCCTGGCCGGCCTGGCCCTGGGCGTGCGCGGGGCTGTGCCGCGGGCTGCCCCTGGTGGACTCGGCCGGGGAGGTGGTGGCCGTCGTGGCGGCGGCGGGCGTGGGCGGGAAGAAGACCTGTGAGGCGGACGACGTGGACGACGCCGACCTGGGCGGACTCTGCGTGACGCCCACCAGGCGCGGGCTGGGCGGCGCGGCGGGCACTGGCGGCTGCGGCAGGGCCTGGATCACGGCGTCCACGCGCTGCTGCTGCTCCAGCTGCTGCTGCTGTTGTTGCTGCTGCTGCTGGCGGCGCTTCATCGACGGCGTCCTCTGGATGTGCGGGTGCATGCTCCAGGCGGGCCGCACCGCGCGCAGCGACGGCGGCTCCGACGACACGCTGTTGTTGTTGTTGGTGGCATTGTTGTTGTTGGCGCCGTGCTGCTGCTTGTCGTGGTCCATGGCGGCGAGGGCTGCGCCGGACGGAGGGCTGCTCAGATGCGGGACGCCTTCACCACGGCGGCGGTCGGGCCATGGGGGCGGCGCGGCCGCGTCACTGGGGGGCGGCGGGGGCGGCTACCCTGGCTGGGCCGGGTCAGCGTGCGGTCCGCGCCAGGCCCGGTCCTCTAGGCCCGCTAGGCCGCGGTCTCGGACCTGTCGGCGCGGAGGGCAGGGGTTGGATCCAAGCGGAATGTCCCAGGACGCCTCTATTGGGCCATGCCACGCCATGTGTGTTCCATGTCCACTCACACACACAGTCACATAGTCACACACAATGCTCTCTCTCTCTCTCTCTCTCTCTCTCTCTCTCTCTCTCCTCTCTCTGTCTCTTACAACCTCTCATCCTACGGCGTCGGCGAGCGGCGTAGCTCAAGCAAACACTCGTTCTACACACGCAGACACACCAACATCAACATCACACACACACACGAGCGCGCTCGCACACACACTCACACACATACACGCGCGCGCGCGTTTGCGTTGAAATTATTGGGAAAACCCTCAATATAAGCTCGGCTGGTTTGATTTGTAGAGGCCGGCGGGAGTAGACGGAGCGTTTGGAGGAGGGGGGGGCAGGACTGGGGAGGGGGGCCAGAGAAATGAGGCTTGAGCAGGGTGAAAGAGACGGGTTCGGTTCTCGGTTCGGTGTTTTCCTCGTCGGTCTTGGTTGCGTGCAATGCTGCTTCTCAAAGGGCACTTTCGCGGTTTGTGTGATGTGTGTGTAGGTGTGTGTGTGCGATGTGTTTGTGTATGTGTGCGTGTGTGTGAGTGTGCGCGGCCTCGAAGATGCAGAGGATGATGTCTGGCGGTGGATCGCGGCGGTTTCGCGTTGCTCGCAACAATTTGCCGGAGTGGGTAGGGGTAAATACCGCTGAGGTTGCGGTCCAGGGCTCCGAGGGCTCCCAGGGCTCCCAGGGCTCCCGGGGCTCCCGGGGCTCCCGGGGCTCGCAGGGCCACCAAGGGCAGCGGACGCCTCGCTTTTAATCACGAATAGTGGAGCGTTTACCACTGGCGGCGTGGGGCGGGGCGGGGTGCGGCGGCACCTGGTGCCGTGATCAAGAGGGGCGGTTACGCCCTGCTGCTACCTGATGAATGAAATCAACTGAGTCCTCCAGAGGAGCCTCACACGGGCACGCGCGGGCGCACACACTGATATCCCCCCCCCCACACACACACAAACACACACTCACACACTGCCACAACCCAGACCACCACCATCACCACCGCCGTGCACGCGAGCACGGCCTCGAACTGTTGTGGCTTGGCGCACACAGACATACGCAGACACACACACACACGCGCGCGCACACATTCCATTGTAAGCCTCCCCGAATGCAGTACGGCGCTCACCCATCACGCCTCGCTTCGCTCGTTAAAAACTTTCCCTTTCTTCTCGACGCCGCGGCACGGCACGGCAGAGCACGGCTCGTCTGTCCTTTCGGTCACGCCCCCAACGGTCCTCTTGCCCACTATGCGGTGCAACTCTCACCGGCCAACAACTTGTCAAAAAATCTCCCTCCTTTTCTTCGAGTGCACGTCCGTAATCTCATAAACGGCGCGAACAGAGCTGCGCTGTGCCCGCGGGCCCCGCACTCCAGCGCTCCGCCGAGAAGAACGAACGAGAACGCGATGAAGAGAGAGTGATCCAAATCGAGTTTCGAAGCGCAGTCCTCCAGGCTACGCCTGGCCCCTTCTCATTAGCCGCGGAATCGGATCCAGAAGCGCGAGGCGCGAGCGATGGGCCTACAGTGGGGAAGTGGGGAAGCAAAAGAAACATAAAACGAGCTCATTACCAACTCCGACTGGGTGGTTTAGCCTGAGGCCCGCCGCGTCCCGCCGGGGCCGCGGATACGTGTACACTGTACAGAGTGAAAAGCGGGCGCGCGTCCGCGGAGGAGACACTCGCGACCTTCCGTCTCTCTCGCACCCGCACCTGACAGCACGGCGCTCCGCGAGAGCGAGAGAGACGGCGGCGCCGGCTACCCGGGCAGAGCACAGTGGGCCAGAAGACCGCTGGAGGCGGCCAAAACTCTAAACGCGTTTTGAGCTCCAGAGTCGCTAAATGGGACTCGAACCGAACGTGTGACCCCACCAATGGATTGCTCTCCGAACGAGGAATCCATTGGTGGGGTCACACGTTCGGTTCGAGTCCCATTTAGCGACTCTGGAGCTCAAAACGCGTCTAGAGTTTTGGCCGCCTCCACCGGTCTTCTGGCCCACTGTGCGGCCGGGGTTGGCATGAAGCGTGGACGCACTTTGACGTCTGGCGCGCCGGGCTGCCAGCTAAAAGCGAAAAGCCCTCGCCGCCCCGCCGCGCCCCGCCCGCTCCACGGCAGCAGAAGACGCGACCAAAATAAATGAATGCAAATTATACAACACTCTGCCTTCCTCTTTCCGCTCTCAGAGGCCGTCGGGTTAACTCGCCTCGCCCCCGTGTAATGCTTTAACGAGTCCCGGCACCGCCAGCCTCGCTAGCCGAGCTCGCTAACGCGTCGCACGTAACGCGCCGTGTCCCGCGTTCGACACCCTTCAGCGCCTGTTCCTACGTGCTTCACGTTCTCACAAAAATTCGGGCTCATCCTTAGCGCGGTTGATCTCGTCTTCATAAAATCAAAAGCAGGCTATTTTTTATCGCTTATTCAGGCTCTGTTTTTACCCCAGGGTCAAAGCCTTTGGCCTCTTCAATGAGTTACAGATGCAATTCCCGTCTGGTGAGCATTGACGAGTCACCGACAAAGTCACTCACACGTCAAAGACACGTCTCCGACACGTCACCAAAAAGTCACTTGCAAAGTCACCGACAAGTCGTCACCGACAGGACGTTCGCTAAACATCGCGAAGTGCGCTGAAGAAGGGCAGTCCCGCTGAAGAGAATAGGGGCGAGAGCCAGATGGGAGGGCGGCGGAAATTAAAAGAGTCGGGGGGAGGGGGGGGGGGAGGGGCCGTGCGGGCCGAAACGTCCTTTGTCTGTTCTATATGAACCCCGCGATGCAGGGCAGAGGGCTGCAGAGGGCCGCCTGGCTGGCTGAGGGCCTGGAACGGCCTGGAACGGCCTGGAACGGCCTGGAACTGCCTGGAACGGCCTGGAATGGGGACGCGGCGTGCGGCCCGCCGCCCGCTTCCGACGACTCACTTTCGTCGCGCTGTCTCTCTCGCACGCCCACGGCAAGGACCTCGGGTGCGACAGGGACAGCCTGGCGGCGTCGGCGGCTTGCCTATGGGCCGAGATGCGAGGGCGCGGCCGCCGGGGCGGAATGTCAAACCGGGCCGCTCGGTTCAGTCGCTCTGTCTCTGTCGCACTCACGGGGCGAGCCGTAGGGCCGTAGGGGTGCGAGAGAGACAGAGCGACGCTACGGCGTGCGGAATCGGCCTGCAGGGCCCCGGCCTTGTTGCATCCCCCCCTCCCTTCCCACTGAAGAGTCTGGCCAAGACAGCGCGCCGTGAATCTCAAATTATCTGACGAAATGGAGCACCGGGGCAGACGGGGTGGCGGGGCGGGGCGGAGCGGGGCGGGGTGGGGCGGGGTGGGGCCGATGGGGCGCGGTGGAGAGGTCTCTGTCCTCTAGAGCGGCCATTCTGTAATTGTCCGCCTCCTTTATTTCTTTTCAGGGCCTGGTGGGGCGGGGTGGGGCGGGGTGGGGCGGGGTGGGGCGGGGCGGGGCGGGGCGGGACGGGGCGTGGCCATCCTCGCTGCTTAAGTGAACAACCAACAGAGTGAATTGGTCAAGAGGCGTTCCTCCGCCCAGCAATGCCTTGCCTTTTCGCAGCGGGGCTTTGCCACACGCTAAAGCCCTAACAGATAAACGGGGTTTGAACGTCAGGGATAGTTTTGTGAGGCCGTAATACCGCGTAATACGGATGAAGTTGAGTTTTTGTCCCGTAATGCATTGGTTTCGGTGTTCGTCATGCAAAGTACCTGGGATTCCCAGGCGGCTCCTGGAAAATAGACCCCTTTTTTCCAGTGTTGCTGACGCTGACACACGGCCTCATCGCGCCTCTTCAGCCGCCCCCTAATACCGCGATGAACCTTCAAAGCCGCGGGCGTCTTGCCTCCCTTGGCATTAAAACCACTGCTTTTGACTCGGCTGTCTTTATTTCGTTCTTTTCTCCTTCTCCCCCCGTTGTTCTGTCCTCTTTTCAGCCTTTTCTCTCGCTGTGTCTGTCTATCTCTCTCGCTCTCAGAAGAGATTTCTCGCTTCACCTCCGCGCAGCCCAGCGGTCTCTCTAGCCTCGTCACAAGGGGCGATGATGTGGGACTCTCGGAGACTAGGCGGGGGAGGGGGTGGGGGCACAACAAAGGACAGCATTCACTTTGTGGCGTAAGAGTTTTTGGAAGGGGCCGGGGGGGGGGGCGGACTGTGCGCGGCAAACACCATCTGGTCCGCTCCAGGGCTGCTGACACTGACAACTACACTGACAACCACACTGACAACTACACTGACAACCACACTGACAACTACACTGACAACCACACCGACACCGTGCTGACACCGCGGAAAGCTGCGGCGGCTGGCCAATGTCGACGCGTGGCGTCACCAGTGACGTCACCGACCTGGGAGGTGCACTGTTGTGTTTGCCGTCTACCTGACCACTGATTTCTTTGCAGTGTAATTTCACCTGGACTCCAATTAGGAGCCACTACGAACGCACTGTTGAGTTTCTCGAGTGGACTAATGGGCAGAGCTACATAAATGAGGAGCCTTCAGACGGATTCCGAGGGTTCATCTCGTCGCTCTGTCTCTCTCGCACTCATACGAGACGCCCAATGAGAGCGAGAGAGACGGAGCGACGAAAGTGACTCTCGGAACCGCTCTGCTGCGTGATGATATCACGGGACGGCGGCACTTTTCTCCCGTCTCATTCCCACTCCGCAGGTGGAGTCCGAGCGGTCGCTCTGTCTCTCTCGCACTCGCGGGGCGTCGCGGAGGGGTGCGAGAGAGACAGGGGGCACGGTGCGGAATGGAGCCCCCGCCACCCAGCGCTGCCGAGCGCGGCACTCTGAAAGGCCCGCGCGTGCAGACAGCCCTG